CCGACCCAAAGAGTATTGGGATTATGAATCCCTTACTGTTCAATGGGGGTAATTTGTTCATTTCTTGCTTGATTTACTTTGTTTAATTAAGGTTGTTTGAACGAATTTAACTTTTTATTTGTTGATTTGGTTGTATAGAGAGCAGGATGATTACGAGGTGGTAAGGAAAGTCGGCAGAGGAAAGTACAGCGAGGTGTTTGAGGGAATTCACACTACTAATAATGACAAATGCATCATCAAAATCCTTAAGCCTGTCAAGAAGAAAAAGGTTGCTCTTTTTCCTTCTTTCCTTCTTTATATAATATCCTTATTCAGTGCTAGTTTTATAAGCTGAAATTGGTGCTTTTCAGANATGCATCATCAAAATCCTTAAGCCTGTCAAGAAGAAAAAGGTTGCTCTTTTTCCTTCTTTCCTTCTTTATATAATATCCTTATTCAGTGCTAGTTTTATAAGCTGACATTGGTGCTTTTCAGATTTTTTAAGTTTTTCATTGTGAGGTGTCAAATATATCTATTGTTGGACGAGTTTTATTTCAGCTTGAGGAATGAGAATGGCATATTGTTTCATTTGCTTGTGCTTTATTTGAGTATGAACTAGAGTAGGCTCATTTTCTGGATAAGTAATGAAAAAGAATAGGCTCATTTGAGATGTTGAAATTGGCTTGATATATGGAGAAAGGAAAACTTGCTTGAGTTTTGAAAGATGCGGTCTACCATTTAAGATTGGAGCTGAAAAGAAGGTGAAACGGGGTGACTAGAATAGAATATTAAGGTAAGGTGAGTATTATTTAAAGAAACTGGCAACAAGTAGGTGCAATACTAAAAAGCAAGACTCAAAACCTTAATGCTACACATAAGGAGTGGAGGAAACCATCAAGGTATTTGTCATCTTACACCACGGAATCAGATTCTTAGAATGTTCAAGTCCTTAAAAGGGTTAGTCATTGCGTAATTCTGTGTCGCTGAGCGACATAATATATTATTGATATTCTTTAAGCTCATTAGATATCTTCTGGTTTAACTTTCTTAATCTTTCACTGTTTAGCCAAATAATTCTTTCAATTGCATATATCTATAACTGCTTATGTTTTGTTAGTTTACTGTAGTAGCTCGTGATTACTTGTGTGCTGGAGTATCATTTATCTGCAAGTAATCTGTGCATTTGTCTTTTTGTGGGCATTCTGATTCATGCTCTCTTATTTGTCAACATATCTTTGCACGTTATTTTGTATAGGTACTTATATATTATTGACACTAACTGCAGATCAAACGTGAGATTAAGATACTGCAGAATCTTTGTGGTGGACCTAATATTGTGAAGTTACTCGATATCGTTAGAGATCAGCAATCGAAGACCCCAAGCCTTATATTTGAATATGTGAATAACACAGATTTTAAAGTGCTGTATCCTAATCTTTCCGACTTCGATATTAGATATTACATCTATGAGTTGTTAAAGGCAAGTTCTCTGTTGATGTGGATTTTAAGGCCTCTCAAATATATGATCTTCGTTTTATCTTCAATATTTCCCTGGTTACGGAAGCTTGGTATAGATTATAGTAATATTATATTATTGCTATACAGGATGCTCCCTTTGAATCTCTTTTTCGGATAAAATCTGAAGATGATTATGTGCAAATTGCTTTGAGATGATGATCTTATTTCTAGTGAGAAATTTCACTACTCTTTTGAACAAATTTCGCAGAATGATTATGTGCATAATAGTTGATCTATTTCCATTTTTACCCTATCTAAAAGTTTGAATTCTTTTCTTAGGTTCAACCATTTGAACTAATCTCTTTAACTGAACTCTCCATTTCTTCAGTTTGGCACTATTGTCCAAAATATATCTTCTCCATTCAATATAATGATGTATCTAGATGTGGGTGTGCGCAAGCTGGCTCGGGCACCGCCGTCATAAAAAAAGTGAAAAAAATAATGTAGCCAGATATGATTTATCAAAAAGAAAAAAATGTAACTAGATTTTGTATTATCAATCTCCATACAAGTCAAAGTAGACAAGTATTTTGGAGTATGATCTAAAGCTCCTTGTTTGCTATTATGATTGGAGAAGACTCATTCTTTTGATTTTTTGGCTGACTGGCGAGATTTGAGTTTAAAGATGGGTAACTGTATCATCTCAGGTTCATATTATTTCAACTTGATAATATGATGAGATTTCTCTGTTTGAGTACAATAAATTATTGACATGTTATAGACTTATAGTCTGTTTGGCCAAGCTTCTTTTTGGCCAAAAGCACTTTTGGCCAAAAATTGAGGTGTTTGGCCAAGCTTTTGGAAGGAAAAAAAGTGCTTTTGAGGAGAAGCAGAAGCAGTTTTGGAGAAGCAGAAAAAAGTAGCTTCTCTCCAAAAGTATTTTTTTGAGAAGCACTTTTGGAAAAAATACACTTAGAAGCAGTTTTTTAAAGCTTGACCAAACACTAATTGTTGCTCAGAAGTGCTTTTCAAACTAATTAGCCAAACACAAACTGCTTCTCACCAAAAGTACTTTTGAGAAAAGCACTTCCGAAAAAAAGCACTTCTCAAAATAAGCTGATTTTTGCACCTTGGCCAAACGGGCTATTAAAAGACAAATTATTGTACACAAGAATGAAATGAGTTATAATGGAACGAAATGAGTGTTGCTAGTCTGGGATCATGACAGTTGTTTGTGGTACAGCTGTTGTTTTACACAGTCAACTCTTTTTACATATATTTCTATATTATGCCTTGCAATTGATATTTTCTTGAGGTGCCAGAGAATTCAAGTATTACTGTATCCACTGCAGGCATTAGATTATTGCCATTCTCAAGGTATTATGCACCGTGATGTGAAGCCCCATAATGTAATGATTGATCATGAGCAGCGTAAACTTCGGTTAATAGATTGGGGACTTGCAGAATTTTATCATCCTGGAAAGGAATATAATGTCCGTGTGGCTTCTAGGTTCGATCTTCCACTGCTGTTTGTATCATTTGTCTTTTGAGATTTAAAATCATATCAATTTAACTTTTGAAGAAGGATTTCTCTTGTTTCCTTTATTTTTATTAATTGAGTGGTGGCAGGAATCTCAATTTGCTTCTAGTCGTTAGCATTTCTTTGTTGGGGCTAAGTGATAGAAGTTTCTGCATGTTAAAGCACCCAGGGGGGTACTTGGATCTAGAAAGGAGGACTATAGCTCCTTTAGCTATGTAAGGAGTCTATGAACTCCATCGAAGTGTCAAAATTATTTACATTGGACGTCCTACAATCAGTAAACATCTACATTTCGTATTGTGTACTGCGTCAAAGTTAAACATTCCTTCAAATCAACTGAGATTATGTTTGCATGCATTCCAAAGTGTGCATAAAAAGATATTGTGTTTTGAACAGTTTTTTCGGTGTTTCCTCATCCTCTGTTCTTACCAGCACCCTGGGAGTGCTATTCACTGCCTTTGGCATCACCAATTGAACACCTTTCTTTGGGAATCCATGTGCACCTAGCGTAGAATAGAGCACAATGGAAGCAAACAATCCCAATTGACGAGACCAACTAGTTGGATTAACGCTTAGTTGTGTTGATGTGCTCATATTAGGTCCAATGTTTACCCGGAGCCTTTAGATCTGTTTGCAAATTTGTATTTCAAATGAAATTTAGAGAACCTTTGATGTTGGAGAACACACCTTTTTTTTGTTGGATAAAGCGAGAAGCCGAGAACCTAATTTATCTTAATCCAAATTATTGAGCTTTGAATAAAACCGGTTTGAATGGAATGACATTGATATTGAGGATTCATATGGCTGCTCCTGACTAGCTTGGAATTGAGAAATAGTTTTCGTTGTTGTTTTATAGCTTTTACCATGTTTTTATTTTGATGATAACATGAAAAAGATTATGCTTAGAACTTCTAGGAGGCAATGCATGTGTTTATTTTGTCATTGTGCTCCTGAATCTAAGAGGATAATTTTTTGGTGGGAATGCATAGTTAGAAACCTACTTACCCAAAGAAAAAAATTGCATATTAGAAAATTGTATTTCCAGTTCTTACATAGGCTGGCCAAATTTTTGGCTCGAAAACGTATATGCTGGATTTATACTTGGTTTAGCAGTCTAATACTAAGAGTTCATTTTGATGGGAATGCAATTTGAGAGACAGAGAGGTTAGGATAATAAATGGATTTTGAAGTGCATTTCCTTGCAAGTGTTAGGGTCAGGAACCCAGCTGGGGTAAGGAATTGGGTTTGGTAGCGTAAGGAACAGAAGGGAGGTTTTTGAGCTCGGAAAAATCAAAGCAGAAGTATTTTGTCTGTCCGCTATTTATTAGTCATGTTCAATGGGATACATATTATGATAGTTAAGAGCATTCCCCCATCCATGAAGATATAGAACTTACATGAGGCTTTATAATTAAGTATCACCTCATTTATGTGATTATAAAATCCTAGGATCTTTGCCGTAATAGAGAAAAAATGATTCTGGTTTGTTGCATGCACCTTTTGTTACTTTATTGATGTGGGTTACATATGCTTTTTCTGCCCTTTTCCCCTCAAATACCAAAAACTAGTTTTAATTCTGTATCTAATCTCAATATTTTTGGAGGGCTTCTTTGGTTTCTCATTGTGGCTTCTGATGGACTTGCCTCCTCTCATTATGGTTGCAGATATTTCAAAGGTCCTGAACTACTTGTTGATTTGCAAGACTACGACTACTCGTTGGACTTGTGGAGTCTTGGTTGTATGTTTGCAGGAATGGTGAGCAACAATCTTTTTGCACCCTTTTTTGCCTCTCTTTTGGTATCATACAGATGCACATTCGAGACCTCATCTTGCATGTGTTATGCTCTCTACCTTTTTTTATTTGTCCTTGACTTGGTACTTACTTAATGCCATTCATGACTGATTCTCGCCTGGTAAATCATGCATGAATGGCAGATACTGAGGTCCAAAAGTCAGAACTTACTTGTCTGTTAAGGTCTCCTCTCACTTTGATGCTTACTTCTAAGGAATTGTACTATGTAGATATTCCGGAAGGAGCCTTTCTTCTATGGGCATGACAATTATGATCAGCTTGTGAAGATTGCGAAGGTATGTAGAATGCCCACCTTGAAGTTTATCGTTTAGCCTTTGATGTTTAATATATGGCATTTATGCTTTGGGAATGAAGTCACATCTTCCTTTTCTTTCTTTGATAAATTGGTAACTAACTCACATGTGAAGCTGAAAGAATCTTAATAGTGTTGATTCATCCAGATCAAATGTTTTCACAAACAATGTGAAATTGTACTATTGTGATTATGGACTTATGGTGCTTATGATAATGTCCCACACAGAGTAAATGGCTATATATAATACGCACGCCGCGCGGGGCGCGCGCATGCACACACACACACACACATATCTGTGTGTGTGTGTATATGTGTGTGTGTGAGTGCGCGTGCGCGTGTGCGTATTATATATTGCCATTTACTCTCTCTCTCTCTGTGTACATGTACGTGTGTGTGCTTTGAGCAAATTATGGTTTACATATAGAACTTGTTCCAACTGTATGAAGTTAATCACGAGCACAGATCTCTCCATCCGCAACCCATCATGTGAAGCTAAACAGGGCAACCTTAGAAATGAGACCAAGCAGTGAATAAGGAAATAAGCTTCAACAGGAGGGGGAGAGGGGGGATGTCGGTTCAAGAGAGAGACATCATGTAAATTGGTGGTATTGGTGGTGTTGTCTGTCCATGCACCTGTATTTATCAAGCCTCACCAATGCATCACTATAGGTCGTCCCGCAAGACGACATGCTTCATTAATAATAATTGGCCTTTGCATACTATCCAGTCACCCACAAGCCTTCTGATACTTTTTCTATCACTTGTTAAGATCATCAACTCCCCTGCCTTTTTTTTGGAGATTAGTAGCAAGTATTATATTACTGCAAATTGCCAAGCACTAAAATAGTGCTTGGATGTAAAAAAAAAAATTGTTCCATAAGATACATTACCTCTGTTAATTGATGACATCTATATTCTTTTTCTCCTTTTCATGTATATCTGACTGATTAGACCAGAGAGCTATTACATAAACATCTAACACTTCAGCATGCTTGTGGATGAAGTTTTTCCTTTAAAACGCCTCTTGTTGTATCCTTTGTTTCTTGTCCATCTACTGAGAAGTTTCTTGATGGTTGATTTCATCACCCATTTTAGTGCAAATAATATTCAAAACAAGGCTCCGTAAGTGGACATGAAGAGACAGGTGCCTGATGTCCTTTACCTCCTTTTTACAAAATATACTACAAATTTGTAGGCCCCTCCTGTGCAAGTTAGAGTTTGTCAACCTACCATCTTGGACTAACATCCAACTCAAAAGGTACTCCGTGAGGAGCAAAACCAAATTACATTCTGGGCCAAGAAAGAAAAGGACATCTTGAGGATACCAGACTTCTATAGCAGGAGTGAACAGAGTAGTCCCATTTCTCTGCAGATTCCAGATCAAAGAATCTGAGGTTTCTGGTTTAATAGAGATCTAATTAAGCTCGTTCGATACTGGTACGATTCTGTCAACCTCTGTCAAAATTGTCCCTTCTGAATTTCATGTTCCATTCATGCTCAGGCACCTTGGCACAACCACAATCTCCATGAAAGCCTACATCTGTTCTTGCATTTCTTTTTGCATGGTGCTCATTGAAAATGCACCATATTAAGAGCCCGTTTGGACATAAGAAATTTTTACAAATTTCAAAACAATGTTTGGTTATGAACTTTTTACAAATTTTCGAATCCAACTTGAAAATGCATTTTCGAATTTGAAAAGCTGATGGGAACCAGTTTTTCAATTGGAAAATTGGAAAGTTAGTATTTTGAAGTTTTACAAATTTACCCTATTTTTGAAATTTATAAAAGGACCTCAATCTGTAATTAAATTTTGGACTATATTTTGACATCCACCATTAGATCTACAATTTATACTTTTACTTGAAGGAGCCGCTACAACTTCTATTAGAGATTGTTCGTACAATTGAACAATCAGCATGTTTGATTGTTTGTTTCAAGTAGGATAATCAAGTCCGTGGTGGTTTTGATATTTTTTACAAATTGTGGGGTATAAATCATGTTTCATGGTTTTGAAAAAAATGCATCTAAATATGTTGCAAAAATTATAACCACACTTAACTTCATCTTCAAATCAAATTTATTGAAATTTCAAATTTGGAAAAAAATCTTGGAATTTATATCCAAACGCCTACTAAGTAAATTATGATCTGCCTATCGTTGCCCTAATAAATGGATTTCATCGATGACCTTTTGGACAAAGAGGGTCTCTAGCTGTTAAGACTCTTTCTTCTTTCATTTAATAATCCAAAGAAGCTTTTGAGAATATTGAGTTGTACTTGAAAAAAATGAAAGTTTTTCATTTATTGTTCCCTCTCCCCAAAAGTGAACTTTTTTGACAGAAGACTGAGGGGTTGCAATCTTATGTGCATAAGAGGACACACTATATTTGTCTCTTGTCTTTTCCTTTGTTTCTTGAATTCTCTTTTAGTTTTTTTTGGTGAGGGGAAAGGGAGTAATCTGGAGCCATTCTTCAAGGACTTGATCAACAACAACGACCCAGTGTAATCCCGCTAGTGGGGTCTGGGGAGGGTAGTGTGTACGCAGACCTTACCCCTACCCCGAGGGGTAGAGAAGTTGTTTCTTCAGGGACTTGATCATTTAGAAAATTCTTACATCCTATACAACAACATACCCTGTAGAATCCCATTAGAGATGCGGTTTTCGATAGATCCTCAATTCAAGAAAAGATGAAAAAAGAAGAAAGAACAAGGAAAAAGATGGAAAAGAAAAAGGAGAGAAAGGAGAAACGTAAAAAGAAAAAGTAGCATCAAATAGTAACAATAGAGAAATAAAATAAACGAAGTGAACGAAACAACATGAAGTAACGGAGATCGAAGAATAGGAAAATACACGAGTGCTACTAGTACTACTGGTAATGAAAGGGGAACTATCGATTACCTACTAATCTTCTACCCTAATTCTCAACCTCTACACTCTCCTATCATGGGTCTAGTGTTTTGGATAGCGTGCGGCGACAAATAGCGATGAGGGCCCGCTTCACTGAGGCAAGAGGCACGCAACGAAATGCTCGCCTTTTTTATGTGAAGTGACAATTTATACAAAAACATAAAATATTATATACATATAACTAAAAACTCAATAATAATAATTTATTAATAAATATATCATTCAAAAATTGAAGACTCAATGGATAGTCATAGACTCGTAGTAGATTCATAAATTAAAGACTAATAGTCTAAACTCTAAAACAAGCAACATCTATTCTTCAAGATTTTCAAATTCTACAACTTCATAAATGTTAGCATTATATTGGCTATCATCTTCTTCATCAATTAGGGACCGGCTTGAACTTGCTACCCCCTTTCCCTTGTAACTTGAAGAACTCGCTCTAAGTCCANCATAAGTTAGATTAATTAATAGATACTAATAATAATACAATATAGAATATATTAATATAATAAATCTACTTCTTACATGCTCAAATATGCTCCAATTTCTCTCGCATCCAGATGCACTACACGTTAGGCTTAATACTTTGATGGCAAACTTTTGCAAGTTTGGAGTTTGATGTCCAAATTGCTTCCACCATTCTACTATAGAAAAATATTTTAAAAGTTAATAAGTATAAATCAAATAAATTAAATTAAGGTTATAAGGATTTCTATATTAAAGTTAGTTACCTGGCGACCTTATGTCTCTGGCTCTAATGGCAGTCGGTAAACCAAATAGGCCCTCTGCTTGCGAGTACTTACCAAACTCCTCCCCTATTTGATCTATCGTCACTGAATTAGGGATCAACTTCTCAAGACATGCATGGTATCCAATCAACACCTCTGAATCCAAAGTTCCATCTCTAGTGTTCTTGTAAAATAATCCCGGGTTCAGGAGATGGCCTGCTGCATGCAAAGGTCGATGGAGTTGATTGTTCCACTTGGTATCAATTATCTCAAAAACTTTCTCATATTTCCTAACATCTCCCTCAAATGACGCTGCAATACTCTCTTTGGCTCTATCCATAGCTTCATAAAGATAGCCCATTGGTGGTTTTTTCTCCCATCCACCATACGAAGCACCCTAATCAAAGGACCACCAACTTTAAGAGCCCGAACGACATCATTCCAGAATGATGGAGAAATAAAAACTTTGGCAGTTTCGTTACCCGCAGCTTCCTTTGCATATTTATTATCTTTCCATTCAGTCGAAAGAACTAGCTTTCTCAAATTTTTCTTTTGCAAGTAAAAACTATGCAAAGTTAAGAAAGCTGTTGCAAATCTAGTCTTGGCCGGTTTCACCGAATTTCTTTCATTTGTGAATTTCCTCATCAAATTCAACAACAACGGCCTCTGACTGATGTAAGCATATACCTTGATGGCCTAAGTGAAAACTGTAAAAGTAACAATAACAATTTTATAGTTAATACAATAGGACATAAGCATAAATAAAGTTAAAGGATTTAAAGATAACTATATTAAAGTTACCTGAAGCATATGGGTTTTCCTTGAATATGTCACCCAACATCAAGTTGATACAATGGGCAGCACATGGAGTCCAATAAATGTTTGTATAGACAGCTTCCATCATCTTCCCCGCACTAACATTCTCACTAGCATTATCTGTAACAATTTGTACAACATTTTTCTTTCCAATTTTATCAATAATATTTCTAAACAAGTTGTACATTTTGCTTCCATCCGTAGAAGAGTTGCTAGCATCGTGAGATTAAAAAAAAACACTCCTTCTTGGAGAGTTTACCAACACATTTATGATCATTTTTCCATTCCGTGCTGTCCATTTATCCATCATAATGGAACATCCAAACTTGTTCTATTCCACTTTATGCTCCTCAATAATTTGGTCTATCTTCTTCACCTCCTTTTAAAGATGAGTTACTCTAACTTCATGATAGCTATTTGGCTTCATTCCTGGGTCATATTGTCCTACAACCTCAATGAATTTATCAAAAGTTTTGTAGTTGACACAGTTGAAAGGAAGCCCTGCATCGTACATCCATGATGCAAAGGCACTGACGACGCGATCCCTCAAAATCTTCTTGGCTTCTAAACCCGAACCTTCTTCACCTTTTCCCCTTTCTTGTTGTTTTGCCGAGAAATAAAGATTGAGAGGACCTTTTGCCACCGTACGTGCCGTGGATGACCCACTAGAAGTATTTGGATTTATCTTATGAGTTTGGGGGGGGGGGGGGGGGGGGCCC